TCGTGTGGATGCGGGCTTCCATGGTCCGTATCATGTGCCGGCTTATGGATTCGTAGTGCAGGAGAAGGATGGAATCTTTGTGGCGGCAGGGAATGGACCTCTTACTTGCCCTTATGACCCCCTCTTGGCGGAAGCAATGGCTTTGTGTGAGGCTCTATCTTGGCTGAGGAATAATGGCTACTCAAGGGTTTCAGTTTACACTGACAGTCTCGTCTTGGTTTCCAGTCTAAAGCATGCTAGTTCGTTTCGAACTTATTTTGGTTTTGGTTTGCAAGCTTGTAATCGTTTATTAGATCAAATGTCTAGAACAGCAGTAATTCATGTACGCAGGGATGCTATACAGGCTGCCCATGATATGGCTAAGCATGTATCTGCCTCTTTGACACGTTCTCTTTGGAGGGATATTCCTCCCGCTTTTCTTGAGCCTGGAATGGCTAATGCAATTTAAGGTTGTTGGCTTTCAAAAAAAAAAAAAAGAAATATAGTATGCATATATTAGTGATATGTGTTTAATTTTTTTAGTGATTTAGTGATATATTATTAATTATTGATTTCTCATAAGTTATTAAATATTCTGTAGAAAACATTTCACCATCCTACTTTAATTCAAATATAAGCACAAGTCCGTCAATTGTGTACGGTGTATTTCAAAGATCATTATCTACTCCGCTCATCATGTTAACAAATGATAAGTATGAATTTAAGTATAACTATTTTTTTGACCCTTAATGATATTATAATTTTTTTTCTAAAGTATATATACTAACTTTATTTTACATGATTTAGGTGATAATTTACCCCAGACAACAATTGTTACGCCATACGGATCGACATTATCCCAAATGCATCTATCTAATGTATGTTATAATAATAAGAATTGTCAACAAGCCAGTATGCTAGATGACTCATTGAGAAATTTCGGCACAGCATCGACTCCGTTTCATGGCGAGCACAAATTTAGACTAAACGAGTTTGTACCATTAAGCGATGTGACAAATAGTACAATTATACATTATAGTGAAAAAGTTTTTATGAATATATAGAGGTTTTTATATTCATATGTATATTAGTGAAAATAATCAAATATATTAGTGTACACACACATACATATATAAGTTATATAAAAAAAATAGTTAATACTGTTTTTTATCTAGGTAATAGAAGTAGTACGATCGCATGGGTTACATTAAAATCGTCGGCTCCTCATAATCAAACGATAAGTCCAAGACATTTTCCTCTACCAAACTTGAATGATGAATTTGATGAGTTAGTTGAACTGATTACAGTTCATGGTAATATAATATATGCAGTACGACATTAAAGATTCAAAGTACAAAATTGTTTTTGTATATTATACATAATTAAACATTAATTTGTGTTGTAGAGGATTATGCAGATCTTGGTGATCCGAACAATATGTGAGCATTGTTCTGTAATATTTTGGTTTGTTGAACGTATTAATAAGATCAAGGTCAATGGATCTTCAAAATATTCTTTGTGTTGCGGGCATGGGAAGATTTGCTTACCACCAACTACAACACCGCCTAAAAAGTTATTTGATTTGTTCTTCACTAATGGTGAAAAAAAGAAAATGTTTCATAGAGAACATTAGGTCTTACAATAACATGTTTAGTTTCATGTCAATTGGTGGGAAGATTGACAATTCCATAAACAATGGTGGTGCAGCTCCAGTTTTCCGTATGTATGGCCAGAATTATCACTTGATAGGCAACTTATTGTTGCCAGACGGTAACAAGCCAAAATTTGCACAGCAGTATATTCATGACACACAAAATGAGATAAGTAATTGTATTTTTTTCAGTTAGGTATGTGTAATTCATCTCATGTGTAATAGTTGACATATAAATGACATTATTGCATCATCTTGATCTCATAACATTTTAAATTCTTTTGTAGGCGAGGAGATGATAAATCTAAAATCCATGTTGATGTTGTTGCTGACATTAAAGAGGTCCTTGATCAGAACAACGTTTCGCAATGCAAGGTCTGAGATAGAAGCAAATCCAAAAGTGGAGATAAAGATGAGATTAATTGGTAAACGTTTTAAAGACGCAAGAACTTACAACTTACCAATAGTGTCAGAAGTTGCAGCTTTGATTGTTGGTGATCTAGACCCATTAATAGGTGAACGCGATATTGTAGTTGAGGCAAAATCTGGAGCATTGAAAAGGATAAGCGAGCTAAATCCTGCTTACTTGCCGCTGCAATATCCAATACTGTTTCCTTACGAGGAGGATGGGTACATGGAAGATATCCCATTTGCTAGGACATCAAGTAGTCAAAAATTTTCAAGGCACCGTATCTCCCCTAGGGAGTACTTCGCCTTTCGAATTCATTAAAGATCGAGTGAGATCTCAACAATTTTGTACGGTATAAGATTGTTCTAGCAGTTCTTAGTGGATGCTTACACCATGGTGGAGTCGGGTAGACTTATTTTCATTAGGACCAACCAGAAGGCACTGAGGTGCGAGGCATACAAAGGGATGTCATATGTGTTGACTAGGGGAGAAATTGATCCTAGCACACAAGGCAAGCGTATAATCTTACCATCCAGCTTTACATGTGGAGCCCGCTACATGATACAGAATTATCAAGATGCGATGGCAGTCTGTCGGTGGATTGGGTACACCAATTTGTTTATTACTTTTACGTGTAACCCTAAGTGGCCAGAAATACAACGGTACCTTAATAAGAGGAACTTAAGGGCTGAAGACAGGCCTGATATTGTGTGACGGATATTCAAAATGAAATTGGATTGTCTAATCAAAGATTTCAAAGCAAGTAAACTTTTTAGAAGTTAGAACAATCAGAGCAGGTAATGTCCATGTTAGATTATTAATTGTTGATTTTCATTATTATAGTTTATTTGAAACTATATCACTAATATATGTTGTAATTTTGCATTTCTCCAATTTAAGAAGATTATTAGAGATAAACAGCTGGTGTAATGGACTGACTGATTCGAAGACGTGTAAAGTCAGTCAGATATCTGGATAGCAGATTAGTTTGTAGAGGAAAAGCTAAAGCAGATAACAAAACAACACAAACAATGTTTACCCAGTTCGATACGATGTGTATCTACATCTGGGGGACGATCACCGAGGCGTCCAATCCACTAACTCATAGTCCAATGTACAAAGGTAGAGAAACAACAATCTCACCCAAGTGTTCCACACAAGGTACGTACCCAGTCTACAAAGGTTTAGTGGATTGTTGAAGTCGGAGAGCCACGCATGCAGAAGTCCAATGGAATTCCTTCAATCCACTAACTCTGATGCAGTCCGCTTCAATGACGCAGTCCCACGTTGTTCCCACAACTGAGTGATCTTCGCGTCCTTTCGTTTAAGCAACGATAGTTCTTCTCAAGTTCTTCATCATAATCACCAGAAACATATATTATTGAGAAGATGTATTATAATCAAAGATATGATCCTTTGTATAGTATGGAGTGTTTTTGTTTTCTTAGAATCGTAACCCTAATCCAAGACTGAATGAGGGTACTTATACTTCCTTGGTAAGAACACTCTCCAAAAATATCTTTGACTGTAGATGGTAGGACAATTTGTGAAGAATGCAATCTTAAAGATTCGGTCTATACCTTCCAAAACAGATTCCCTGATTCTTCTTTCCAAAACTGCCTTCTCAAACCGCGTTCAGCATTTTGGAAATATCTTCCGTATCAGTGCGTCTGTTGATGAACCTGATCAATCAGTCTTCTGTAACAGTAAACAGAAACCAACCTAAGTCCTATCTTAGTTTGCCATAATAATATTGCCAATTATATGTTGGGATTTTTGGAGAAAATAAAAACACTAACATATGTGTACATTAATTTTTATTTTTTCAAGTAATATACACCATCGAATTCCAGAAGCGGGGTCTTCCTCATGCACACATATTGCTTTTCCTAGATAGGAGTGAGCTTACCAGTTCACATGACTACATGGACAGTATCATATCAGCTAAAATACCTAACAAGGATCACGATAAAGAGTACTACGATGTAGTTGGAGAATTCATGATACATGGTCCATGTGGAGCTGCAAGAAAGAACTCACCTTGCATGGTAGACGGAAAGTGTTCAAAGCACTTCCCAAAGAAGTTTGTTGACTGCTCTAGTTTGGATGATGATGGGTACCCGGTATATAGGCGACGTGATGATGGCATGACCATAACAAACAACGGTGTTCCGTTGGGCAATAGATACGTCGTACCACACAATAGAGATTTGTTGATGAAGTATAGGGCACACATGAACGTTGAGTGGTGTAACCAATCTAGATCTATAAAATATCTGTTCAAGTATTGATAGGTTATATACCCCGGGTCCGTGCTCCCGTTTGTAGTCGGGTCGGGGTCAAGCGGTTCGGGTCTCGGTATGTCGGTCGAGGTCAAAGGTGACGGGTCAAACCCGGGATGGGTCAAACCCGCCACCTCCTTAACCCTATAAAAGGGCCTTTGGCCCTTTTAGTGAAAGGTCTTTTGGTTCATTTTCCATTAACTCTTCCTCTCTCTACATCTCTCGACCCTCTCTACAAGAACACACACAATATTAATAAAAGGGGGATATTTGAGCTACTTCTTGTCGTCTTCCTCTTGTTCATACATCTATATACATTTATATACAGTATTTACATCCTACACGATTAGTACTATAAAATGGCACCGTCTGTGGGGATCGGCGCAAACAGCTTCGTTCCTATCATTAAAAAGAAAGCTATACGAAGAGAAGAATTCGGGAAAAGGAGCTGGAATCGCCGATCCATGTGTTGGAACACAATGATATGCGATCTAGCTTGAACGGAAAGAGAGAAAAGGGAATGGTAACTTGCATTATGAACTGTCTCATCTGTTACAGAGGAAGAAGAACGACTAAATACCAAAGGAAAGAGCGGGAAAGTTTGTTACACCGGTATGAAAGAAAAGACTAGAAAGTCCTCAGCCAATCTTAGCTTTGAACAACAGAACTGCATGCTTCTTTATTTTTCTTCTTCCAACACCCCCCCGTAAGTTGGCGCATACAAATCTTGTGTGCCCAACTTAGATGTAAACAACTGAAACTGTGGTATTGGAAGAGGTTTAGTGAATCCGTCGGCTGTTTGATTCGAAGAAGAGACAGACAGAAGCTTTATGAGGCCTTGGGAAACTTTTTCGCGTACGAGATGACAGTCTATCTCGATATGCTTCGTGCATTCATGAAATACTGAGTTCTCGGCTATGGCAATGGCGGATTTGTTGTCACAAAACACCGCTGCAGGCTTTTTCATTTTCATCTGCAAATCGGAGAGAAGAAAGGTGATCCATTGGACTTCGCTCACAGTTGCGGCTGATGCCCTGTACTCGGCTTCGGAGGAAGATCTAGATACCGTCGATTGTTTCTTGGATTTCCAAGAAATTAGCGCACTGCCAAGAAACACACAAAAACCTGTTATGGAACGACGGGATTCTGAACATGTAGCCCAGTCAGAGTCGAAGAAAACATTGAGTTGTGTGGCTTCGCCTTTTGGATAAAAGATGCCCTGCCCAGGGGCTCGTTTGATATATCGCAGAACATGGTGCGCCGCTTGCATGTGTTTCACAGTTGGTGAATCGACAAACTGGCTGAGCTGTTGAATGGCATATGCTATGTCTGGTCTTGTAGCCGTGAGGTATAACAATCGGCCAACAAGTCTTCTATACGAGCCAATGTCAGCAATGGGCTCACTGTCTCCATGACATAAATGAATACCAGGAACCATAGGAGAGGAAGCCGGCTTGCACTCAAGGAAACCGGTTTCTGTAAGAATGTCCATAGCATATTTGCGCTGGCAGAGGTTCAAACCTGTGTCACTACTCCGTGCTTCAATTCCAAGAAAGTAACCCAACTCGCCTAAGTCTTTTATCTTGAAAGCATTATCAAGATACATCTTTAGGCTATGAATCTGGGATATGTCTGGGCTGGTAGGCAGTATGTCATCAACATATATAAGGACTGCTATAAAGGTAGCACCTTCCCCCTTAGTAAACAGAGAAGGATCGGATTTTGATTGCACGAACATCATCTGTAGCAGAGCAGCACAGAGCTTTGAGTTCCACTGCCTACTCGCTTGTTTGAGGCCATACAAGGAGCGGCGAAGCTTGCATACTTGGTTAGGCTTCTCAGATTCAAACCCCTGTGGCAGTTTCATATAGACTTCCTCAATTAAGTCTCCGTGCAAAAAAGCGTTATTTATATCGAGTTGATGAATGTGCCAAGCACGAGATGTGGCCACTGCTAAGAAAGTCTGAATGGTCGTTATCCTTGCAACCGGTGAGAAAGTTTCTATGTAATCAATTCCGAGCTGTTGGGTGTAGCCCTTGGCCACTAAACGAGCTTTGTATCGTTCTATGGAGCCATTGGCTTTGAGTTTAATCTTTTAAACCCATTTGCAACCAATGGGGATTTTCCCAGAAGGCAAGTCAGTGATATCCCATGTCTCGTTGTCTTGCAGAGCTTTAATTTCAGCGCTCATGGCATCCCTCCAATGAGCATGTTTGACAGCCTGACTGTATGACTTTGGCTCATCTGTAGAACTAACTGCCAAAGAGAAAATTTTATGTGATTGAGAGAGGTTGTCAAATGACATCACCTTAGACACAGCGTGGGGGGATGATCTCTTGTTTATTGCATCACAGTAGAAATCTTGGTATTTATTAGGAACCCGACGTTGTCTGCTTGAACGTCTGAGAGGTGAGGGACTTCTGCTTGCTTCTTGTACACGCTCATCATTCTGCCCATCTGATATTTGTGCATCATCATCAAAATGTTCCTGTGCACATTCGGATTCCATAGATAAATGGAATTGGGAATTGCCATGTTGATTATCATGTGAAGAATCTGTTGGCAGTGCAACATCACTAGGCATCCCAGTATTTTGAACCGGTTGAGGTTGAAGGCTTTCATACTCCAAAGTGGTAGTAACTGGAATGATAGGAAGAGATGGCTCACTCTCAGCAACTTCCATAGAACCAGTATCCTTCGTGAAGGGGAATTGGCCCTCATAGAAACTCACATCTCTGGAAACGAACAGAGATCCATCAAGTAAATCATAGAGAAGGTAGCCTTTAGTGTGAGCTGGTATTCCAATGAATATGCACTTTCGGCCTCTTGCAGACATCTTGTGAGTATTTGGAGCAAGGTTGGAGGCATAGCACAAGCATCCAAAGACTTTCAGATTTGTGAAATCAGGCTCCTGATTGTACAATCTTTGATAAGGACTAACAAGTCCAATGATAGGAGATGGTAACCTGTTTATTAAGAAGGTAGCATGCATCACACAATGGCTCCAAAATTCAAGAGGAAGAGAAGCCTAGAAACGGAGAGCTCGGGCTACATTGAGTATGTGTTGATGCTTGCGTTCAACAATGGCGTTTTGCTGTGGTGTGTAGGGGCAGGTCTTTTGATGAACAATACCTTTTTCTGTAAAGAACTCAGGCATGCTGAACTCTAAGCCATTATCAGATCGAATGGCCGTAATTAAAACTCCAAATTGTGTTAGGACTTTGGCATGAAAATTCTTGATGAGTTGTCTGACCTCTGACTTATTCTTTAAGAGGTGAAGCCATGTGAACCTGGAGTAGTCATCAACTATGGTAAGAAAATATCTTTCTCCTTTCAAAGAATGAACCGGAAACGGCCCCCAAATATCAATGTGAAGCAAATCAAAACATTTTTCTGAAATACTTATACTCACAGGAAACGGGGATCTCTTGTGTTTAGCTAGATGGCAGATATCATAGGCAGCAGTTTTATGGTTTGCAATCTTGATATATTTCAAAAGATGGATTTTATTAATAGGGAAATGACCCAATCTTTTGTGCCACAACTCGGCATTACTACTTTGAACAGAGGAAACATCATGTCTAATAGCAGGCAAGGATTGATCTAGAATGTAAAGGCCCTTATCTTGTCTAGCTAAACCAATCTTATTCCCAAGCATGTCCTGAATCACACACTGTTCAGAGGAAAAGATTAGACTGTAGCCACCATCTTTTAACAGCTTACTCACAGACAATATATTGAACTTGAAGGATGGTATGTGTGTAACACCCCAGATTTTCAAGACATTTTAAACTTAAATAATAAAGGCGATATCTCATTACATCCCAAGTGTCTCATAAGTGTACGGGGTGCTATGCCACACCTGGGCTAGAGAACCCAGGTGCACAGGCGGTCTAACTAATATCCATTGAAACATAATGCATAATATGGCACGCAGGCCGAAAGGGAAACTACTATACTTCTACGCTCCAGTTCTAGCGCGCTCCAGTGCTCTAGTCCTCTGTGCCTGAAAGTCAAATATATCTGTTCAGCGAGAGATGCTGGTAACCCACTCCAACGCGTTGAAATACAATACATATAGATATACGAAAACCATTGTGAGCATGAAGATATATCCTACGAACTCTAGCTTTTAAAACCGGGAATGACTCGACAGAAAAGGTCAGACACAAGCAATAGTTATAACGAGCATATGCAGTTCGCAATAGATAAGGCAGATAAGGCAAAACATAAGCAATAATCACAACCCATCATAAACAATCCCCAATATAAATCCCATAGTCACATCCCAAGGCACTCATAGTCACAACTCGTCCATATCACACACATAACGCACATTGTTGGCGCCACAGGACCGATCGCATGCCCATACATGAGGGTCAGCGCATATAGCTCTGACACAGCCCCGCAGCACCATGCCCCGTATCGCAACACGGGGAGGTCGATCGCAACCGACCGATGAACCGCAGCTCATCATAGTGTTTGATCGCAACCAAACAGTGGACCGCAGCCCAAGAGAGTGACATCTGACCGCAGCCAGGATAAAGGACGAACCGCAGCTCGTATAGAAACGTTTGATCGCAACCAAACGGTGGACCGCAGCCCAAGAGAATGTCATCTGACCGCAGCCATGAATACCCATCTGACCGCAGCCAGCTTCTGAACCGCAGCTCAGGATAACCAATCCGATCGCAACCGAATTGGGGTAACACACACACATAACACATAGCAAGCACATGCAACCCACATTACACATTGGGAAGGGGGATAAAGCGTATAACAAACCTATGCGTGATCCATCACATACTAAGAATAGTCCTAAGGGGTTCATACTTCTTTCACCTAGGTCAACGGGATACCCATTCAACTAGCATGCGATATAACGGACTCATAAACCTACGAACGGCACCCGAAACATCAAACTAGACATAGGCACGACAAACGGGGTCCGTTGGGACACCACGGGGATCGGGGAAACATCAAACGGGGAAGCCGGGGTCCCGAGGTGGGAGAGATTCCGGCGGGTAGCCGGTGGGTGGGGTGTCCACCCGCCGGCTGCCCGCCGGCTGACACTGTTCCGGGCAGCGGGTGCCCGGCGGGCAACTGCCCGCCCGCCGGCTGCCCGCTGCCGGAGCTGCCCGAATTGCCGCGGGTAGGTGGTGGGTCCCCTACCCCCCCACCTACCCCCCACTGACTCTTCTCATCACTTTTCGCCCCGGGAACCGTTGTGGAACCCGAAACCATGCTTAGACACTTTTCAACGTAATTAACGACAACACATAGACAATTAACGGATCAATTACGATAGACGAACGGCACATAACCTAACATGCTTTTCTAATCATAATCAACACCCAAACATGCGATTTCCCACCCGATAATACAAGAATAAGATCATACGATACAACCTAGGGTTCTAATCACTTTTACATCAACAAGAATACGATTCATCTTCTAATTGCAAGATTTGGTAGGAACAACACATAATCATCAAGGATAGCAATTAATCATCAAGAACATCATAATCATCAAGAACAGCACATCATCATCAAGAATCCCAATTAATCCTCAAGAACATCCCAATTATCAAGAAACTCCCAATATCAAGATTATCAAGATTCCCCATGGAATCATTAAATCAACATCAATAATAATCATAGTAATTCGCCATTCACAATCATACGGGGGAAACCCTAAGGGGAAATCATAGCTATGAAAATAGGTTTGTTGAGACATGGGTTACCTCTTAGCCTTAATTAATTCCTTGGCTATGAAGGATCTTTCTTTAAGCTTCCTTGCTTTCTTGATTTCTCCTAAGGGAATTCTTGGAGCTCTTTTTGGGGTGGTGGGCGTTAATCATGTGGGGAGTTCTAGGTGCCTCTTAAGTCCCCTATATATATATTTAGGAGTCCTAATTAGGAACTAATATTATAGGCTCGCTAATTCTATTCCTTTTGGAACTAAGGATTGGGTTTAGGGGTTGGGTTTATACATGAGGGCCCATGGACTATGGTGGGCCTTTTTCCCTAATTAATTATAATTTATTCTTTCTCTTGGGTTACTGATTAATTGATTAAATGGTTTTAGGGGCCGTAACACGGGGTGTTACAATGTGGAGGACATCTTTCAAGCATATTCCACCATCAAGAATTATACTGCCCATGTGTTTGACATGAATCCGGTTTCCAGTGGGTAAGTTCACCTCAGTTCCTTGAACAACATGATAATCAAGAAAGAAATCAAGTGAACAAGTAATGTGGTCCATAGCTCCGGAGTCTATGATCCATGTAGAATTACAAAGAGATATAGAATTGACAAGAGTGTTATAGTACTTGCCTTCAGTTGTAGACTCTTGCCTATTGAAATTTGGTACAAGAGAAACTGCTGCCATGGCCTTAGTATTAGAGTTCTGCCCAACTTGGTTCTGGAGAAGAGTTAGAAGCCTTTGGATCTGCTCAGATGTATTATCGGAGTCTGCCTGTTCATTAGCAACCACTGCTGCGGATTGTTGCTGTTTTCCTTTCGACTTGAAGCCCGGAATCCACCCCGGTGGATATCCGTGCTTCTTGTAGCACTTCTCAACCGTATGGCCACTCATCCCGCAGTAGGTACACTTTGCACCTTTGTTATTGTTTCCATATCGCTTGTAGTTGTAGGTGTTTAAGGCAGCTATGACTTCTTTAGATGAATTCTGATGAACTGCATTGGCTTGCGTTGCATCTATGTTCAAGTTGCAAGCACTTAGATTAGCAAAGGTAATCTGTCTCTCAAGTTTTTCCGCCATGACAAACACCTTGTAGACCTCTGGCAGAGGATCCAAAACGAGCACACTGGATTTGAGATTGTTGTATTCGTCATTTAATCCCT